AACAACGAGAAAAAGAAACACCAGAACAATATCAGTATCAATAACAGTTCCAATAACATAGAAATACTAATAGCGACAACAGGAACAAGAACAAGACGCAGCAGCAGTAAGAGCACTATAAGCAGCGACAAAAGCATTGTACCATGGCTACAAACAACACGATCCTAGGCATTGTGTGGCAAAGTGTTGGCGGCTGACGTAGTACACGCATACCATGCCCTTGAAGTAGAATATATTCATGAATAGAAAATGGCCATGCTCCCAAACAGTTCAATTAAAATAGAAGAAACTGCATTTGCACGAAGTAGCTCTTAGGTGGCTTGCGGCCAGGACATGGCCATTATCTTCTGTTTGAAGGAAGCCGGTGTAGACAGCAATCTCAAAGCGACGCAACAGCGAAGCCACATAACATCTCTCTGCACGACATGTTTGGTCCAAACTCCATTGGCGGACTCTGTCCGCTAAATTGACATACCCATAAAGACCTGGTACGTGCGTGTCCTCCAGATCTGCAATAGCAGTTTTGACATCTTCTGGCAAAGGGCCTCACGCCAGGTTTCACCAGTGGCGTTAGCGTACGTCTCAGAAAATGAACACCTGATTCAACTGTTTGAATTGATCTTCGTGTCGCACATCAAGCCCTGCCTGCATCCGAAGTCAGAAATCGTACGCGGACATTGTGCCTGGCACTTGCTAAGATAAAGGCCCTCTCATTTCATGCGAGTGGAGTCTTCTCCGCTCATGAGATGCTGCCTCCCTGCATAGCGATCATTCGCGAGCATGTCAAGCCCTGGGTGACTCTGCCTCATGGCGTGCTCGCCCAAACGCGGCACTTCCGACAGGAAGAGGTTCATCATTGCGCTGACCTACGGAAGGATCATGAAAGCAAAGCGGCCACGCAAACAACGTCACTGAACTTAGCTTCCCCTCAACGATTGAAAATCGGTTTAGAATTTCCCGCTGAACTTAGCTTCCCCTCAACGATTGAAAATCGGTTTAGAATTTCCCACTGGTGCGAAGAGTCTGCATCTCGAAGCATGGATCTTACTGCTTGGCCTCGCCGGCATCTCGCTTCCAGTTCTCAGTGGAGAAGGCAAAAACGGTAAGATACTCCACCTGGATACCGCTGTCTGAGTTCGTGAGAAGCGCTGCAACAAAAGCCGTAACCGCAGCGACCGTCTAGGCGCCAACATGCCGGGGTCGCCCCCAAATCCACCTTGGTTGCAGGTCAAACTCAATTTGCAAAACAGCTTGGCAAGAGCAGAATTTGAGCGGCATTTCCCATCTCTCACACAAGGTGCAGGCACACCAATGGATGAACTCTCGAAGCTTCTCGCCGCCCGCTTTGTGACCGCTGAGAGAATCCTGCCATGTTGGCAAGTGCGAGCAAAGCTGACTGAGCAGCAAATCCAACTAGCGACTAGCCTTCAGACCTGGGCATGGGCAGCGGAAAGCAGCTCTTCGCAAGTGGCACATGCTCTCTCAAACAGGAAGGGCCGAGTGAGTCTGACAGTACCGAGCCGGGAAAGCCCCATATCTCTGTCGACCAAAGCGCCGGTTCCTGAGATGCAACGGAGCCCCTCGCTCCAGACATGAAGACTCTGGTGGTGCGTTCGCCCCCGCCAACAAATGAGCTGGCATCTTCCAGCATCCCTTCGCAAAAGCAAGCACGCGCACACACACACACACACACACACACACACACACACACATCGCCAAGTCAAACCACCAACAATGATCTTGGCTTTCGATCCTGAACAGCGCATGCCGCTTTTGATGCTGGGTAGCTGGCCCATCCATGATCACCTCTGCGTGTGTGTGTATGAAGCTCAGGAAAAAATATGAGTCTCCCCCCCTCCAACTTCGGGCAGTCTAACCTTGACGCACATTTCCAAGAATGCCATTCCTTTGTTCACCTCATGTCTCCTTCACAATTCCATCATCTCACAACAAAAGCCAAGAAGAGAAACGCAAAGCAACTTGCCCTCCATGGCGCTTGCAGGAGATTCGCCGCAAAAAGCTGCTGTCTAGTCTGCAAGCTCGCAGTCAAACTTACTGCACCACAAGCATTGAAGAGCCATGGGGCCCCAATCTCCCCATCGGGCCGCATTGATAGCGAGTGCTTCATGCCAAGAGTTGGCAACTGAGCCGATTGATCTAGCTGCACCTCCCACTCTTCTGGCAACGCTCGGCTGAGGCGCCCGCCGCGACATGCTGTGGCACGGGGCCTGAAAGCTCAGCATGCCTGGCAAATTGGTTCCAGGCTGCTTCCGCATCTGCGAGTCAGCCTTGAGATGAGGAGAGGATCCAGGCAAACACAAGCTCAGGCCAAATGCAACGAGGGCAAAAAGCACGAGAGCTGATTTGGTGGTGAGCCTGATCTGGGTCTTACAGAGTCCATGTCTGAGAGAGCAAATCCGTCATGCTTTGCTTCAGTGACTTACTTGACAAGCGGCAGCAAGTCCGTCGCATGCAGCCACAAGCAAGCAGTGTGCAATTGAGGTACATGTGGGCAACCAACAACTGGCTTTTGGATGTGCCTGGCCTAACTCGATCTGTTGCTTCTGGAATCCTCGCGGAGCGGGAAGGCAACTCATGTACCAATCGAGCAAGAGACCAAAGCATGAGAACCCTGAATCACAACTGTTGCCATTGTCTGTGCATGAAAAAACAAAGCACGTGATATCAAATAGCATCTCTCAAGCTTCAATTCAAGTTGTGTATCTGAGTGTAGCACTCATCGCACTTTGCCAGCAAGGATGCCCCTGCGAGCTAAATTGCATTGCTTCATGCGCAAAAATCATCGATTAGCAAACTCACGCTTTTCCAACTTTGCATGTCTAGCAGCTCATCCTGTTGCAAATTGCAGCGCTGGATGTGTTCAAGTCATGGGACACAGTCGCGTTCTTGAGAATCAACTTCTTTGACTGCCATCGATCGACTGAGAACACGATGTTGCTTTTCGCTTCTGCTCTTCCCGTGCTCTTCAGCTCTCTAACACCACCTCAATCACATGCACACCACCCCGACACTCATTGACTTGCGCACTACATGCAAGCATGTTGACAGCACTGTTGGGTCAAAGAAGATTGTGGTTCCTTGCCTCACAGGTGTATAAAACTCAGCGGATGCATTGGATCAGCATCGTGCACCCAGAGAACCAGTCGGCCCTCAAACAATGCAAGTTATTGCGTGCTCTTCAGACCTCGTTGGGAAATGAGCAGAACCTGATAGTCATGGCAAGTAAAAACGATAGAAGTGCATGGTCAAAAGCTCGTGTTTGGGTCCAACATAAACACAACTTGTAGGAAGTAGATTCGTTATCCCACACGCATTCCACACACATGTCGATGCAATTTCCAGAGCAAAAGTTAGACACATGGTTGGTTCCTAGAAAAGCTGAGTGTCAAGCATAGGAAACCCCGCCCTTGCCGCCAAGCCTGTCACAGCTCGAAGTACTGCCACAACCGCCCAGCCGCCACCTGGTGTCAGAAAGAATCATACGCGCCCTACGTCGCAGCTTTGTACACTTCATTACACTTCTCTTCAAATGTGTCGCATCTTGCCGACCGAGCCCCAGGTGTCCATCACGCCTGCGGCACCCACGGCTTGCGCCGCTGCCGCTGCGGCCCGGGAGACGGCCTCTCGCAGACCACCGGCCTGCGCATGCCATCTGCATGCAACGCAGTTGGGCGGCAGTTCAGGAGCGGGTTCCCAAGTCCAAGGGTAAGCAAGCACTATGGGATGAGCATTAAATAAATCACACAGCCAAGAGCGAAACGTTCAAGACAGGATCGAATGGCTTTTGCCTCCTTCTTCAAAGATCTGAGCTACATCACTGCCATAACAAGAAAAATGAGCAACATGTCCTGGCACCCGTTCTTCTTTCAAACCCTGACCACAAGCACGGTGTATATACATATATATATATATATAGATGTACACCCTTTGCATTGCCTTGTTTGTTTCAACGAGTTTCCAACATCTCTCTCGCTCTCCCCTCGGATGCATGCCATGGCCAACTCAAGAAAACATCCCCTCGGTCACCTTTGCATCTCGGCGGCGGCAGCAGCGCATGGCCGGATCCTACCTCTGGTGGAATCCCTCTGCTTTATATGCAAGCTAACACTGTTCACAAATCGAGTCTGGCAGAGTTACACACGTGGTGTCCTGCGAGGTTGTGGCACTGTTTTGCTTGTGTGCGCGTGCACGATTGAGATGGCTACACCTATACTTACATAGAGGAAGAATATGCTGCAAATACAATTGTCACCTGGAATGAGACCTGCAAGCAAACAGTGTTGATCTCAATATGCGGCAAAACGCCAAAACACTTGCCAGTGAAAGTAAACCTGGTGATTTGCGGGTTCATGACACCAGACACGCACTACCTTAGCTTGAAAAACAACAGACATACATCTTTGCACTATACCCAGGCAGCTTCTTAAGAGACCGAGCTACGAATCCTTGGAATGCTACGGCTATACATCGTGGAGATCACAACGTTAAATAGCGCCAGGCGCACTGAGGATTGGCGAAAGCACGGTGTGTCCGCACCCCAGCCATCGTCGCAATCTTGCAAGCTTCACAGGTTTCGCCACAGCCAGGATCCAACCTCCTTGGATACCAGTTGCTTTGGCTAAACCCTCGGCGAGAGGGGCAGCAGCGCACATGCACGAATGCCAATGGCAACACTGTTGTAATTCTGCATCTGGATTGGTTCATCGTAGAAATCTCATCTTGGTGCCTTGTGTGTTGGTTGGACGAACAATAGTAATTCTCTGTTGTCCCTGCTCCCTGGCTGCGGCGAACGCCAGCAAATCCCCTAATTACATGGCAAATCTAAGGCCTGCCGGTCAAGGACTGGAGGCCGCATTCACATCGCGAGCGGAAGCAGGATGTAGGAAACCTCGGCTGCGCTCAAGTTCTTTCCTGTACAATGCAGCGAGCATGCGCTGACTCCAGGCGACTTCCAAAAAAGGGCCTCAGCAAGAATCCGACCCAAACTGAGGAGCATAGAAAATTTTCCAAACAAACATATAGAAGTCGAAGACCTTCTTCGGATCCTCAGCGTCCACACGCTTCTCCTGCAGAGCGTAGCCAAGAGGGATCACATCTTGCACATGGCGGCCGCGTCGCCCTAGCTTGCAAAGGTCCCCCGTATCCTCACTGAAAGTCATCAAGGCTATTGTAAGAAGCGCCTGAGGGCCCTCTCAAGATGCCGCAAAAGGCTCACCTGTGCCTTAAATGCCGCGAAAGGCCGTCTCCCGCACGTGCCTCACGGTGAACAGCTCGTAGAAAGAGCAGGGAAAAAGCAGCTAGCAGTCCTACAGTGCACAAGTGTGTGTGTGAGAGAGAAAGAGAGAGAGAGAGAGAGAGAAACAGAAAGACAGAAAAACAGTGAGACAGTGAGAGCGAGAGAGGGTGAGAGACAAAAACAGAGAGACAGAGACACAGAGACACACAGAGACACAGAAAAAGACTTGCAAACGATCAGGCCAAGGAACTCGAACCGGTCTGTCTTCCAGGTAAAATCTACATGTTCCAAACCTTTGGCGCAAACGCAACAATAGAAACACGTTCAAAATCGTTTGGATCCTTCTGGGACCCATGCGTTTGGACTTTGACCCCCGTCGGGCGTCCTCGCAGGGCCGCGCGCGGCGTCGAGCCCGCGAAGCCGGCCGCGGCCAAGCACCCGCCGCTGCAGAGCAGCAAAGCCTTCAGCACCCCCACGGCCTGGGCCGAAGCTCTCCAAACGCACGCCTGACCCTGCGAATATCATCTCGGCGTTGCACCCACTTGTGACTCCCACAAGTCACAAACATAAAGAAGCAACAAAAGCCGAAACAAACAAAAAATACCACACACTACAAAACGCAACAACACAAAACAAGAAAACCTGACGGAAAACACAAGCTACCCTTGCGCGTGTGCCCCCTTCTGCCCATTTACCTGCCTGTTGACCTATCGACTTTTCTATCTATACATGTGCCTATTCACGCGAGCGTCTGTTTGCGCGTCTGTTGTCTACCTACTGTCTGTCCATCTATCCTATAGCCCTAACCTTCTAATCTCTTTCTACCTATCTATCTGTATCTAGTCCTGTCTTTCGATCTATCTACGAAAACAATCTGTCTGTCTAACCTAGCCTAATCTCATCTTATCTACCTAATCTCATCTAGCAAAATTTACTAGTCTAGAACCATATCATATCTTATCTATCCAACCGAGCCTATGTGTTTATCTGTCATGTCCAATGAGTCTACCCCTATCTACTTAATCTAGCCTGGGCTGGTCTAGTCTAGCATATCTATCTACTTCGTCTGTCTGTCTAACTATTTGTCTGCCTACCTACCTGCCCTAATCTAGCGACGCACATCGCAGAAGAGATCAAACAAGAGATCTTGCGCAGAACCTTCGAGTCAGCGAAGCCTCCACGTCGGTGACGAGGTATTCTATTGGCAAGAGGCTGCTGGAAACAAAGAAGGCGTATGAATGAAAGGAAAGGTTATTTCCCTGGAAGCCATGGTAGCCCTTGATCTTGCAACAAGGCTGAATCAAAGTCAATTCCACAAAGCTCCTGTCAAGGCCGACTCCGAGGCGATCGCCTAGACTCAGAATTGCAGGGAAGACCTCGCTGAAGTCCCTGCATGCCAGGACGGAGTTTTGGAAGATCTGAAGATTTCCCTTCTGTAGATATGCACATTAGATTATGCGTGAGAGAAGGAGAGACACATGTCCTTGAGATCTTTCAGGCTGTGCGGTTTGATTTGCCACCAGATGTAATCCTGGTTGCACCCGTGCGCGGCCCATGGCCAAATACAGAGAACATCCAGAAACATCAGCAGAAGGTGTGTGAGAAGAGAAAGTGCTATCTTCCGGTGGTTGAAGTTGCGGCGTCTATAGCCGGATTCCAAGTGAAGCACTGTCTTTGCGTCAGGTCGAGTCAGACCTTTTCCGCGCTTTTGGACTTCGAGGCTTGGACAGACCAACTGGTTGCAATCGCGGACGCGATTTCACATTGGCTTTCAGTTTTCACACGGAGCTTCGCATGCAGCTACACCAACTGTTGCAGGTGTTCACGCAATCAACAGTACTGTAAGAATTATCAAGAGCATACTTCTCAGCGTGAGATTCTGGTGTCCAGATGCGTCCCATCGCAACAGCGAAGACAAGTGATCACAACGCGCGCGTCATTTTCTGGCTTTCACCAGGCACACCAGACTCATCAGGCTCCCTGATAGTCTAGGAGACTCACAAGATCACGGCAGCAACAATGTCAACTAGCGTTGCAGAACTACATGGACTCCTGAGATGCTATGGCTCATGTTGGTTCCTTCGAGGATTGTGGTCAGATTTTTGCGGGAGAGATTGCAGATGCTCATATCCAGACAGATGCCAACAACCTCGTGACCGCAAACAGAAGGAACCCATGCACCTGGCCCAGTTGTTGAGAAAGGAGAGCAACTGTGGAGAACTGCGTGTCTCGCAATTCCCTGACACAGCATTCAGCCAAGCCAAATCAGTTGATACAGCAGTTTTGTCAGGCAATCTCGCGAATGTTGATGCTCGTCCACCACTCAGAACCATTTTGCAGCACAACGCTTTTCTTTGCAGAATCACAGAACACGGTCCAAACATCATAGCATGTGAAGGAGTTTGCCTTTCAGAAGCCACGCCTAATTTAAATCATGACGCAACATTTGGCGCATGGTCTTTCCAGATTGTGATTTCTCCAGATTTGCAGATTTTCCAGATTGCAATTTCTCAAGATGTTCAGGCTGTGTCTAGAAATGCTCGGATTCTTGGACATATGTGCACCTGAAGAAATTTGCGTCTGCAGCCGCACACGAAATCGACCAGGTATCCAAGATCAGATTGCTAGGGTTCATGGCTCGGCCAAAGGCAAAATCACTGCAGCTAAGAGAAGATCGCCGCTCAAGTCATGCTCCTTGTTTCCTCTTCCTCGGGTTGGGCTGTCGCCATTTTCCGCATAGAATGCGCTTCAACATCGAATCACCACCAGAACAATTCGACATGCCGCCGCCGCAGTACTGGGGCTGCGCGGTGAGAAGAATTTGATTCGCCGATGGAAGGCAGCGCCGACATCTAAGACACTGACAGCAAACATTGACGAGAAGCACGCAAAGGGAATCACATCCTTGACCTTGTGGAGAGTTCAGGCAGCTTGAATGTCACTTTTGCAAGAGATGAATCCGCTCATCAAACATGTGCGGGGAGAACCCGAGCATCTTTTTGATGATTCCCAAACACAACAAGACGAGGCTCGAACTGACATGTGTACTTCCAAAGTTCGCTGGGACCTACACAAAGAGATCCAGCAAGGGAGAGATAGTTCCACCACATCGATAGGTCAGGAATCTGCCCTGCATTTTCGAGATTCGAAGAGTTCAGCGCTCATGCCGACTGGGAATAGTTACGAATCGCCCGAAATGAGGCGGATGTCAGATCCCTATCCGGCCATACCAGAGAGGGACATTTTCGTTCCATCGGACCAGGCAATGGCGATTCCGATCTTTTTTTTTTCTTGAGAATCTTCATCTTGACAAGATTCTCGAGTCAGAATTCCTGAAGAAAGGACAGGAACTTCACGAAAAAGGAAGACACGTTCACACGGCGTGCGTAGATGACTACATCGTTCCACAAATACCTTCCAGGCATGCGTTCAAGTCTGTTCCAGAAGGAAGACAAGCGACAACGTCATTGCAGCGACGCCAAGTCAAACTCGTGGAATCAAGATGGAGAGTGGATTTGCTCGCCAGACATAGCACCGAACGATCCAATTTCTGGACCACAACCATGGCCATTTTCAGCTGCTGTTCTGGAAAACCACTGATGGAGAAGATGATCAACTTTATGCAACACCCAGATGCCTTGCATCCTCTGGGAACTCTACGAAGACCAGACATTACCAGAAAGGTCAGCCACGGACACCCCAATGAGATTGTCGCCATCGAGGTAGATCCTAGAGAAGAATATCAGAATCCGACAATGGCAGAACCAGACGAGTTCAACTACGAAAAACATGTTCATCAAGCAGGCCTACCATGTGTGACGTTGCATCTTCCATGTGCACCCAGCGCACGCCGCAAGTTTCACTGCAAGAGCTGCAGCTGATATTCATGCCGCTGGCATTCAAATACCATTCTGACGTGATGACAGGGGGCTTTAACAAGATGGCGAACTCCCGATCGAAATTGCAGGAAACATGCGAGCAATGTCCAACTAATGAACACCCTCACGGAGGAAAGGAAATGCAGACTCAACGAGTACTGCAAACTCCATAGTGACAGCACAGCAAATAGGACTGACATTAGCGACGTCACATGCTAGCCAGAAAAGGGTCATAACACGACTGGGCCTATCCTGACTGCATGTTGACATGTGTCTCCCTCTGCGTAAAGACCCAAGCTTGGCGACAACGACAGCACCAATTGTTCGGAAGTCTATCTACAGAAGAAGATATGGCTATGGGTCATGACCCTGATCGAGCTTTTCAGCATTACGAAGTCACATCCACCGAGCGCATCAAACAGATCAACGAGATGCTTCTGAATGCCATATGCGATTCAGATTGGCATCTTCCACTCGTGCTCAATCAAGAAGCCGCGCAAAGGAGCCCAAGGATAACACACAGCCTAAGGAGAACAAATGGAAAGGCTGGAAGGATACTCAACAGCAGAGTGACCAAGATTGGACGGATTGTGATCAGTGGTCGGACAACTAGGAGTGCAACAAGAAGAGCAATCACTCGTCCAAAACCGTGTTCAAGAGATTGGGGCTACGACTGGAAGCAAAGAATTTCCAACAAGGCCCTTTCTTGCGCATTGTAGCTACCGTAGCCCGCTGCGCAGCCGTACAAAAGCCTTGCCGCGTGCTCAGTGAGAGAGATTCAAGAGAGATGAGTATCAGTCCTTCCAAAGAAGACGTCCCCTTTCCTGTTCAGAAATAGATCCAGGGATATGCGTGCGCCGACTACAGGAGTATTCACTTCTTTTCAACTACCGGGCAAGGGCTTTGAGAGGCGCTGGGTGAGGGTGGGCTTCGAGTCACTGGGAGTTTGGGAACGGGAATGCGCACATGTTCAAAAACGCAAATATGTTTAAAGTCGTGGGGTCTATCGCAGCAAACATTTACGCCCACGCCTTCCATGTATGCTGGCAACACGCGGGCCAGCTCAAAAGGCTCGGCCAGCTCAAAGCCAAACATATGTCAACTGTCAGAGTCATCAAACACATTTGCCTCGACGTGGGATATATCACCCATCAGGGAACCATGCGCACCCTCAAAGGAACATGCCGCTACACATGTAGGCGACCGCAGCAGAAGTCGGCGGAATGAGCCGGAGGCTCAGTAGCAGGGAACTCAGCATGTTTTATAGGACAAGGTGCGATGGAAAACACCCGCTTCGGGCCAAGGCGAACACTGAGCGAGTACACGCCAGCAGATTGATCACCCAGTACATCAGGCACGTCCTGCCCATAGAGTGCAAGACTCTGGGCAGTTGCGTCGAAGCTGACCATGAGCTATTCTGCCTACTGAAGGATCGCTAACAGCATTGTCTTGCAAGTTTGTTGCCCTACCCTCGCTGGCTGATTGAGCGTAGGACACATATCACACTATCGTCCGTCCTTCATAAGCGCGATCACAAGGCCGAACACCGCAAAGAAACTCGCAGCAAATGCGCTGCGAAGAGGCGGGAGCTGTCCTGGCTCAGATCCAGGTGACTCATTGGAAAGACAAACTGCTCAGCAGCCTGCAAAGTGCCTGCGGCACTTTCCTTTGAAGTCAGCACCGCTTACTGATGGATTTGTGCAAGTCCAGTATCCCACTAATGTGCAAGTGTGCACGTGTACACGTGCGTCTGCGTGTGCGTGTGCGTGTGCGTGCGCGTGCGCGTGTGCGTGTGCGTGTGCGTGTGCGTGTGCGCGCGTGTGCGCGTGCGCGTGTGCGCGTGTGCGCGTGTGCGCGTGTGCGCGTGCGCGCGTGTGCGCGTGTGCGCGTGTGCGCGTGTGCGCGTGTGCGCGTGTGCGCGTGTGCGCGTGTGCGCGTGCGCGTGGTGGGTGGTGGTGTGTGTGTGTGGTGTGGTGTGTGGTGTGGGTGTGTGTGTGTGTGTGTGGTGTGTGTGTGTGTGTGTGTGTGTGGGTGTGTGTGTGTGTGTTGTGGGTGTGGGTGTGGGTGTGGGTGTGGGTGTGGGTGTGGGTGTTGTGTGTGTGTGGGTGTGTGGGTGTGTGGGTGTGTGGGTGTGTGGGTGTGTGGGTGTGTGGGTGTGTGGGTGTGTGGGTGTGTGGGTGTGTGGGTGTGTGGGTGTGTGGGTGTGTGTGTGTGTGTGTGTGCGCGTGTGCGTGTGTGCGTGTGTTCGTGTGTGTGTGTGGTGTGTGTGTGTAGTGTGTGTGTGTGTGGCCCCCCTGTTTCTAAGGGGTTTCCGCTGTCCTTTTGTGCTTGGAGTCGGACGCCACCTCCCCGCATGATCAGGCGTGTAGTAGTCAAGCAGGTGATGGCGTCCCTGAAGAGGAAGCCTGCTTGACGAACAATGTCCTGACTTGCTCGGGCCGAAACTCCACTTTTCACCTTTCAGTTGCTTGGGGGTGCGCCTTGGCAGTTTCGCCGTCTCATATCAAGTGTGTTTAGGCACTGCGTCCGGGCTTCGGTCAGTGTCTTGATCCCTGTTGTGGGCATCTGTTTCGACTCATGCAATGACATTTTCTACAGACAGTTACCGGACCTTGTCGCTCGTGACGCTTGACTGTTCCAGCTGACCCTCTCAATACAGGCTTGGACTTCTCCCAGACAACCTTTCTTCAGTCAGACAAACTGTTTGACTACCCACCAGACCACCCGACACATCAGGCAAGAACTCATGACGCCGTCAGCTTGCTCTTGGCTCACAATTGTCGGCAACAGATGCCACGCCCCAACGCAGGTCCGATGTCGAACTCAGCAGGCCCTATGTCGAAGGCCACCAATCACACAGCAGGTCCTACGCCACCCAGGTCACCAGTGAGCCAGACAGCATCACCGAGCAGGAGTACACTTGTGGCACCGACCTTCAGCACTACTGGCACATCGTCCGGCATCCCGATGGCCACAACCCTTCGGCTCCATCCCCTGCTCCTCGTGTCGCAACGGGCCTGGATCGGCTGCTGGCCCACTACCACGAATCCTGGTGAAGGCGCGCCCAGCAACCCCAACTACCCCAACGGCTCCAGCTACAGCATGTCCGACTCCGGCTACCGCACCGACCTCTACGGCAATCCTGCGGACTCCCACGGTCTCTCAGCAAGCGGCGGTATCAGGTCCTACACCTCCGCAGTCAGTTACAACGCCCTCGGCTCCCAACCAGGCCACCCCAGTACCAAAGCCAGTGACCACCACGGCTACAGCACCGACTCCGACACCTACGTCGTCGGCATCTCATCCATCCAGTCAGATGCTGCCACCGGCCAACCCACCGGCAAGACCACGCCGCACAACGGATGGCAAGCGATCACATTCCCACAAAGCTCCCCCCTACTCCAAGTCAGTGCCCCCACAACGCCGAAGTCGAGCTCGCTCCAGGACGCCACCACCGATCTCCCGAAGGGACGCACGGTCGGATCGCTCATCCAAGGCAGCAGCAGCTCTCGCCACTCCCACGACTTCAGCGACTACAACTTCATCCCAGCGACCGAGAAGCAACAGGTCCCCACTTCCGCGCAGCAGAAGCAGTGCTCCATCGGCTCCAGCTCCTAAGACCACCAGTGCTGATTCAGTTACAGAGTCGTCCTCGAGAAACACTCAGCCACGTCCGAATCCACAGGCATACCCGCCGCTCATCCTGCTCCCCAACCCACAGTCAGACCCGTGGAGGAGAGAACTTCAGGTACTTGCCTCGCAGCACGTCCGCGACGGGATCCCGGTAAATCAGGAGCAGCTGGACTATGTGGCCGCCACCCTAAATGCAGCAGGAGTATCGTCTCAGCACTCCACTTTGGTTTATGCGAAGGTCAATTCGGACCATCACTACTCCAAGATCACTCCACACTGGTTCACGCTGACCGTTCCCTACCTCGGCGCCACAGTTAGGCTCAAAGAACCAACGAAGACGCGACCCATGCTGCTCTGGACTCACGCTTCCAGTATTGGTGGTACTCGCGGCATCTTGCGGACCAGACAGATCCATCCTTCCCGGCAACACAGTTCGGACTGCCCAGCCTTCTACGCCCAGGGATGGAAGATCACAGGACACCCCGACTATGATGCTGAAGAAACAGCCCGAATGATGTCTCAGAACTGGAGTATGAGCTTCAACATGGCCCAACTGCTCCTGTTCGGGCGCGCTGTCGGTACCTGTCAGCCGATTCGTGGAGGGGGAGAACGTGCTTTTGCATCGAAGCATTGGATTCCAGTGAACGTCCTGACGTCATACACTATGTTGCAGGCAAGTGTTGGCTGGTGATTCCAGAGGCCAGTCAGATCGTCGGACTCGCATGGCCCACCGACGCGCAACCACCCACGAATATCCTTCGCTCGTGACCCTGCATCCGGCAATGATCCAGATGACCAATCTACCGCTTCGGCAGTCATTCTTTCTCTGAGCTTCATCGATGCGCTGGTCTTATTACACCTGCAACCCGATCAGACGAACTGCTGCACCTGATGACATTTCATGATGTTTAATTGCAATACTACATTGCCGTCTTCGCCCGCCGACAGCATTTTGCGACAAAAAGCGCACGCCGGGGCCTGCTGAAGCAAGCATGACTTTCGTTTGCCTGGCCTTCTTGACGTGTTTTCCCTGGTCATGTGTTGATCCGCGTGTGTTGATCGCTTTCTTCTTAATCGGGGAAGTTTCCGGCTTTTGGTTGAAAATCTTTTGTCAACTTGTCAACCCGTGCCGCATGCTCAGCATCTGGTCAATCAATCAGCCAGTGCCTGGGATAAGCAACCGTCCCTTGATGGCTTCTCGGTGGCCCTACTCATGGCCGGCGACTTCGGCAACCCCTTCCTCGCAACCGATGTCTCCGCATCTTCCATCATGGTCGGTCCCGCAGCCCCAGACAGCAGGCCACTCAAGCTACAACCGGATGGAACCCATGCAGCACCAACCTCGAGAAGAAGCAGTACCCCGGGTCAATCCTCCTCGGCCTCCACATATGACCTACCAGTTCCCACCGCAGCCCCCCAGCCAGTTCTACAACCATCATGGCGGTGGCACGACCAACATACAGACGGTTTCTCGGCCCCCACCACCAGCACCACCAGTTCAACTTCAACCTCGTGCACCCCTAGGCCAAGGCGATACAACGCAGTACACTCAGCCTCGCCATGCGCAACTTCTTCCCAGCACCTTTCAGTCTGATGACACCTTTCTCGACAAAACGGAAGTCCGTGGCCTGCAGCTACACCGTCACATTCAACCCACTCAGTGGTCTCGCAGGGTCGGCCTCGCTGGAACAGCAATTCTAGACCATCCGTTGACGCGTCTTCTTTGTGGAGGAGCACACGCGCTCCGAGCGCTGTCGAACGGGAGGTACAGCACGCCGGTGATGGCTCAGACAATTGCCGAAGCGGTGCTATTGACATCAATCCTCAAAGGCCTTGCGAGGCAGGGAAGTCGAAATCGATCGGACTGCCCGCTCCCTTCACCCGGACAATGCGCCAGACAAGCGCAATGAGGCCATGCAGTTCATGGAGCCGCTCGCGCTCAGAATCGTGGACCTCATGGAGTCCCTGCAGCCCGCCAAGCACAAGAACCTCACCCGCCACAAAATTGCCGAATTAGAACATCAGCTTGAGCGCTACAAGAGCAAGGGCATCACTCTCACTCCGGACAAGAAGCAGCCCTCTTCGCGTCCTTCCAATACCACTTCCTGGACTCCTACACCTGGCCGTTCTGACCAGTCCCTCTCTATCACATCGGATGCTCCTGGGCCCCCCCTACCAGTCCCTTCTCCGGAGGCTGATCCAGCTCCCAAACGACCCGGCCAAGCGCAAGACTCCAGAGGCCGCCCCGGACATCACCCTAGATCCAGATCCAGAGCTTTTACGTCAGGGCAATCCCAAGGGCCAGCAGGTCCCACTTCCCACCAGTCTCACGGACAAGGTCTTCAAAGCGTGGTTGCAGGAACGCACGCTGTCCAACCAAGCGGCTTATCTCGACCTTGTCAAGCAGGAGCTGGCATCGGACACGGTGGAACAGTTGAAAACCATTGCAGTCAAGTGGGGGGCGGCTATTTCGCTAATGAGTAAGGGATCGAAACGAGCGCTCCTGCAGTTCATCACGGCGCTGCACATGTACGGCATGCTCTCGCTCACGATGGAGGGCATTAGCAAACAGAGGCCCGATCAAGCAGAGGCCATCATTCTTGAGGCGATTCCGAAGCACCTGCGGCAGAGGTACAAATGGGCATGCCGGAAGAAGACCACCTCCATCCCGGTTGGAAAAGTCTTTCTCAAACGAAAGAAGCAGTGGAAGTCGGGTCGCACCATTATAGCATACCGCAAGGTGGTGCGCCGGCTACTTTTCAAAGCAGTCGCCATCCTTCTCGGCGAGCTTGCCGCTGACACTTGGAAACGCTCATGGGGTATACACCCCACTCCACGCATATGGCAGAACATCAAGCAATACTTTGACAACACAGACGACACAGTCACCCTGGCCTTCCACAATGACGACTTAGTAGGCTTCTTCAACAGTGTTCCTCAAGACCAGGTGTGTGCAGCGGTTGCGCAACTACTCGCCGAGCACCAACGAGACCGGCCCAGTCCCATGTACTCAGTGGAAACACATGCAACTGCCCACCACAATCGGGTGTTTGCGGGCAAGCAATCCTACGGACGCACACCGACCCACATGGAAGACATCATGACCGTCGTCAAGTCCAGCTTCCAAGGCATGTGTGTTCAAGTGGGGACCCTCATCATGCGCCAAGTCCATGGTACAGCAATTGGCTCCCAGCTCACTCAGCCACATATGCGTAGCAAGGCACGAAGTTATCTGGCAGCGTATCTATGGACAATGGTACACCAGTCACAACGTCTTCTTGGAAAGGTATGTGGACAACCGGTTTGTCATTTTCCCTTCTCCATCCTCAGGTCACCCGGCGCCCCCGCTGGAGGCACTGCTCCAGGCTGAGTTCTACGGTGCCCCCATCGTGCTGGAACAAGTGGGGTCTTCAGAGTTCCTCGACTTCGTCATCGATGTTGGCGACAGGTCCATTTACTACAAAACCCCTACAAAAATCTGGCAGATAAGAGGACCACGCACTGCTGGAAGGAGCTCGGTCACGGTCAGCCCTTGCCACCAAGTACGCGTATCCGGCCAGGGCAGTACAGATGGCACTGGATCAGCTTCGCAGCATCTATTTGTCCGCAGGCTACAAGTCAGCTGACCTGCAATATCTGTTTCACCTACCGGCGACTCCAACACGAAAGAATCCTCAAGCGCCTGCCTTTTTGGTTCTTTACTCTCATGTGTCCGCGTTTGTTTTTCTTGTTTCTTGATGTCCGTGTTGACCCTTATGCTCAAACACTGGTTCAAACAGTGCTGCACTTCCTGCGGACCTCCGCGAGCTGTCGCCATGCTCGGCCGCATGATAGCGCTTCATCACCGCATGTCTCAGAACGCTGGTGACATGATGCAGCTCATTCAGGAGACCTTGAACCAAGCTGACGAGGCACACAGTCGCAGGCACCGAGACGGGCAAGGTCGCTGGCAGCAATATGTCCACGGCCGATCGCTGCCCAAGCCATCATGGCTACAAGCACCTGCTCCTGTTGGAACCGATGAGGAGTCAACCCAGCATCTCCGACCGACCCTCCACCACCTGCCGGATTCCAATCAGCTCAGCCACACGCAGACCACAGGAGGAATGTGGCGGTCAACCCCAAGTCGCTGTCCTATTGCATCATCACGGCGGCCTACAGATCTGCGTTCGAAGAGCCCCATGGTGCACGATTACGTTGGTCAGCCGGGCTTCAAGAAGGCCAATGTTCCTCGCTCTATCATGGACAAGGGTGAGGCCGATCGACGCAGAACCAAGCGAAAGCGAGGCCGCGCTACATCCTCCGAGAAGACGGACTCGCCGGAGCCTCCAGCGCGTCCAGCACCTTGTACTCCAGCTCCAGCTCCAGTCTCTCCCTGTCCTGGCCTGGTATCCTCTCCTGAATCTGTTCCTGAACCTCCGGCTCACGCTCGTCGGCAACCCTGGAACTCCCCCGGAAGCACCTCGTGCCTGGACAGAGGAAGATGACCAGCAGCTTTGCAGCGCGGACAACCGGTCCAAGTACTCGTACAAATCGCTGGCCAAGAAGCTCAACAAATCCATCGCGGATGTCACGCAGCGCTGGAAGAGCTTGGAACGCCGCAGGAAAGCTCGGGAACAGCATCAGAAGACTACCTGAACGTGTCCAACACAATTTGTCCTGTCGTCTCCGGTGATACAGTTGCAGCTCTACCACGGACTCGGGGCATCGACTTTTTGAACTTCAGATGGAAGCAATGCATCCCCTCGACCACAACCAAAAAGTCCGCAAACAGTCGCCGCCGGTGTATGTCTTGGCATGGTTTTGGTTTTCTGATTTGCTTCTGTCCCTGGGGGCCCCTGGAGTCTGGGTTCCTGTTTGGCCCTTGTTTATGAAACTCGGCTTTTTAACACTGTGGGACACATGCGCGTCCCTGTGCCTCCACCAACGACCAGCAGCCATTTCAATTGCACAGCTCGCATCCAGTCATCGCCTCCGTGATGTTCGGTTTTGTTCGAGAACAATGAGGAGTTTGTCACCTCACCCGGTCCCGGAGCCCCATCCTGAACCTGGGTCAAGTCCACATCAAGGGAATCAAGGAGGCCGGTCAGCGCTTCAGGCGAATCCCCAGCACCGAGCACCTCTTCTCCCGGGCAGTGGTGGTCATCGTCAGCCGTATCAGCTTGGTGCACCGGGTACGGCTTCATCAACAACGGCGCCAGCGAGTCAGGCATCAGCCACTACACCGGCACCGGCAGCAGCACCCACAGCGGCGGAGATCATAGCGTCAACTATGAGTACGGCCCCATCGTCACTCTCACCATCTTCGATGAACCAGCTCCAGCCATTAGTACAAAACCCGGCACCCAATTCGGCGGCACTCCCCCAGGATATGCAGCAGCAGCTACTGCGACCCACCCATCTTCGGCATCAGCACCTTCAGCCCCGGCACCCTGGAGACTCGGACGTCACGATCATCATTCAAGGCCGTGTGGACAGTCCAATAGATTGAGCAATGGACGAATCCCCGCACCTCAGGGCAGGCAGTCTTCAGACGCACAGGCAGGAATTAAAAAGTGACCAAATCTCCCATCGAGCATCATGATGGAGGCGGCCTTTCGGTTTCCTGTGTTTTCCCCCTGCGGGGTGTGTGTGTGTGTGTGGCCCCCCTGTTTCTAAGGGGTTTCCGCTGTCCTTTTGTGCTTGGAGTCGGACGCCACCTCCCCGCATGATCAGGCGTGTAGTAGTCAAGCAGGTGATGGCGTCCCTGAAGAGGAAGCCTGCTTGACGAACAATGTCCTGACTTGCTCGGAGCCGAAACTCCACTTTTCACCTTTCAGTTGCTTGGGGATGCGCCTTGGCAGTTTCGCCGTCTCATATCAAATGTGTGTGTGCGTGTGCGTGTGCGTGTGCGTGTGCGTGTGCGTGTGCGTGTGCGTGCGCGTGCGCGTGCGCGTGCGCGTGCGCGTGCGCGTGCGCGTGCGCGCGGGCGCGGGCGCGGGCGCGGGTGCGGGTGTGGGTGTGGGTGTGGGTGTGGGTGTGGGTGTGGGTGTGGGTGTGGGTGTGGCTGTGGGTGTGGGTGTGGGTGTGGGTGTGGGTGTGGGTGTGGGTGTGGTGTGCGTGTGCGTGTGCGTGTGCGTGTGCGTGTACGTGTGTACGTGTGTGTGTGTGTGTGTACGTTGTGTGTGCGCGCGCCCGCATGTCTTTTTTCCATGGTGGACTGCTTCATTGCAAAGGTCCTGCAATGCCCAAAGCCTGCGCAATGTAGGCGTAGAAGCCCATGTTGACCACAATGCCACGCACGACAATGATACCTGAAGTTCGAATGCGAAAAAAACAGGGTCTGCGCTCCGAACTTCAACCTCAAAGTTTAGCACATGGAGAGTGAAGGGAGAAAGGGGTAAATCGAATTCCCTCCAATGACTGAAGCATGCACTGGCTGTCTTGCATCATGTTGGCAGCTCTCCCCGGACCCCAAATTGTCCATGGCACTAAGCGCCGCCAGGAACGGGTAGCGCTTGAGCCGTGCCGGAGGAGCTGAGTACAAGGTGCCCAGCAGCGCGCTACCCAGCAGAGCGAACTGCAGCGGCTGGAAGCCTAGGGGCCTTCGCGAGAGTACGTGCTATTGGTCACATCTTGTTGCACATATCCCAAACCGTGTGGGTGAGCCCTTTGCAGTTGCTGGTATTGGGCACTTGATCAGCAAGCAAAATAGTATGGGGCATTCAGATGTTTGGCAACACTCCCAGCACTGGAAGTTACATGCCAGTAAAGTGCACCCTCGTGCGGCCAGCCTTCGCCTTAGGCCTAGCTGACTGCTGCCAAGCTTTGGCCGAACCCCGCTTCTTACCTTGAGTGTATTGAGCGGCTTCCCTTGAGCTGTGCTTGTTCTAACACCATCTCCTGACGCTGCGTCCCCCAAAGCTTTTTTTGTTCGTGGCAACGAAGTCCATCGGTGTTTCGCACATGTGGCGATTCCGGACACTGCTGTGTTTGCTTGCATTGTGACCTTGTTTTGTTCACTTCCCACAGCGTCGCACGAATGTTGACTGCCCGCATGTAAGTTGTACGGATTGCTTCTTGTCTATGGCAAAATGGTTCTGCATAATTACATTTGAAAGGAAATCGCCAACCATCCCTGCTGCTCTAACCCTGATTGTGGACAAGCACGTTCGCAGGAGATCAGCTTTGTTTTTGCTTGGCCGTGGCAACAATGCTCAGCATACCCGCAGATCATTCCTACTTGTCATTCCTGCGTTGCACGAACATCACCTTGAGTTCGACAACATGTTCTTCACACAGCTGCAAGAACTGCGCAAGTTCAGACTTTCCCATGCTGAAATGCTGTGAACTCTGAGATGGACACACGGCCAGGTGTTTCGTCACATGGCCACCTATTTTGAGGTCGCGCGCGCCGAAGTACGCCAAGCTTGCCCAAATGTAGAAGGCGAGTCTTCCAACGGAACCAACAGACGGTGCCACTTGAGTGCATGAAGCATTTCAGTCGCAAAGCAGCTGCACATGAGATGAAGCGCTTGGTTGCAACCGGGGCACGTGCAGAAAGTGCAGGACAGCACCTCGGCCGCCAGAAGGCTGGCCAGCACCGTGCGCCAAGCGCCCTTGAGGCTGAGCCGCCCAGAGGGGATCGGCAAGTAGGGCTTGTTCCTTGCGACTTTGGCCGGGAAGAACTCTGAGTTCGGCTCGATTCCAGCATGAAATTATGCTCAAAGATGCTTCATCCTATGATCCTGAGACCCCGGCTGACGGTCAATGTCTACCTGAAGGGTTTCAGGTAGCGCATCCACATCTGCTCACTTGCTGCAGCTGAGCGGCATCATAGATCTGATTGAGACCTGTGATGTAGACCTGAGCTCAAGAATGCATAAAAAGGATTCAAGCGATGTCAGCTGGAGGTGTCCGGATTGCATTGCACCTGCAACGTAAAGCGTTTGTTTGTTTGTTTGTTTGCTTGCTTGCTTGCTTGTTTGTTAGTTAGTTTGTTAGTTTGTTAGTTTGTTAGTTTGTTTGTTTGTCTGTCTGTCTGTCTGTCTGTCTGTCTGTCTGTCTGTCTGTGCGTGTGTGTCACGCTCGGTTCTGTCATTTGCCTGCCGCTGTGTTGCCGCCCGGTTTCCTCCCAGTTGCGACCCATGAAGTACTTGTTTGTCCCTTGCCCTTGCCCTGCCCACGCTGGATCCCGTCAAGTCTCATTTATCAGCATCGCAGGCACCAGCGCCTGCACCGTGAGCAGCGCAAAGCGCCACCAGTGGACTTGGCCCAGCACCGGTGCCACGGCGAACAGGTGCACCTCACGTCTGAGCCGCTGGATCCGCCGGGCTCCCGAAAACCCCCGAAGCCGTAAGGAAGCCGTAAGGAAGCCGTAAGGAAGCCGTAAGGAAGCCGTAAGGAAGCCGTAAGGAAGCCGTAAGGAAGCCGTAAGGAAGCCGTGAGGAAGCCGTGAGGAAGCCGTAAACATCCAAGTCTCTGCCGTGATGGAGACGAAAGTGCCAATGAGAGTGTGGGGCCGCGTGAAGTCCTGAGGCACAATCCCAAAGGAAGCTGTGAACAGGTATGCTCAATGCAGCTCATGTTCCAAGTTGTCCCTACATCCGGCATGCTGCGCATGCAATGCGGGCGAGGCTCCCAAATTGCCTTTGGCACCTTCAGCAGCTCCTCGACTGTGACTCCATGATTTGCCAGGCCAAAACTCGAAGAAACTGGCAACTGGAAGGAACTGGCAGCGGAAGCGAACAGAAATTGGAAGGCTCTGCTTAGTCCATCTTGCCAAGCTGCCAATCCCGAAGTAGTACTGGCTGAGGATATTGCCTGACTCCATCAACAGACTGTCGAACAAGCTGGCAGCACTGCGCCTGGTCGGTGGCTCGCCGCCCCAGCCGCGACAACCACCGCCGCGGCGGCACGCGCGGCACACGCGGCACACGCGGCGCGTGTGGCAACGCCGCCCGTGCAGTGGCAGAGCCGGCAGCAGCTTTGGCACCTGAAGCCGGTCCCCGGCCCCCCTTGGGCAAGTGCCCGTTGCCTAATTCTTCTGATTTCTCGGCCATTTCCACCCGGCCTTCTTCACTCTCTGCCTTGCAGGCAGTCAAAAGCCCGAAACAAATGGTGCCAGTGCGGTAGCCGCGATTCATCAGTGGCATAACCAAGGCCCCGCGGAAGGTCTCCAGTCCACCTTGCACACGACTTGAACAGCGTTCACGCTCACCCACCATGCGCTTTCGCTTTGCCACGCCTCGCAACAGTGCCCACCAGCCCCGTGGCTGCAGAGCGCTCTGAATGACCGCAGACCAGAAAGGCGCAATGTGCTTCGTCCAGTCAGTAGTTTTGATGCCTGCAAGGGCAGAAAGGACTCCGATACATCAGATGGCGTCGGATAGAGGAATTGTGAGAGAGTTACCAGGTAGCCGACAATGAAGCTCGCTTGACTCGCGCGCTCTTGAAAAGAACTGAAGCAGCCAACCAACCCGAGGGCACAGAATCAATTGAAGCCTGCGCTGGACCCAGCATAGGGGATGCAGGCCTGTCATTCCCATATCCTTTGCTATGTGGCTGTAGTCGGCAATACCTGAGCATCAACCCTGGTGAAGCTCGAGGCTCGAGCAGAGCACTTTTGCCAGGGGCACTGCACCAGTCCGGCAGGTGGTAGGCTTTGCTGATGCAATCCAGCAGCCGCTGCTCCTAACTCCGAAGCCGGAGTTAGGCATGGCCAGTGGGCCATCGATGGAAAGCCCATCAACGTTTGCGTGTGGTTGTCTTTTGTCATGTTGTTAATCGTACAACGTTCAACTGAGACGCTGTAAAAGTTATCAGCGAAGTACAAGTGCTCCTGGCTGTTGGCAATTGTTTGCCATCAAAGGCCTTGTCTTTTCGCACTCCCTCACACACTGAAATGAATTTTGTCAGTCATGTCCTACCTTGGTAAAACGATGACAAAAGTCCCCAAAAATTGACTGATAAAGTATCCCTTGTTGTTTCCTGCCTTTCGGCGCTACCGCTGCTTCGCTCAGACTTGGACCGTAGTCACTCTGAATCCCATCGATCGGCGTGGGACTCTCCAGGGTCCTTAGGCTTCAACGTCTCGTGCTCATCCAGGTCGCGGTGGACCCAGGTCACCAAGATGATGCGACCCCCGGGCTTGCAAACTCGGTTCATCTCGGCCATGAACCTAGCTCACGCTCACTGCTTGATGTGCAAGCCGATGACAAGGCTTTGCACCGAGAAAAGGCGGGCCTAAAGGCAAGGTGGAAGCCTGCGGGTGTCAAATGGCTCCACGACGCGCCTGTCTCTTCATGCCCCTGCTGCAATTCACGCAACTCACGTCTTCCCTCTGCGATGTGATTGTTGGAGGGATCCGTCGACAAGACATCAGGCAATATAATTATTCATTGCCTCTCCACGAAAAAATATAACCTATTTGTTGCAGCCGCAGCGGCTTTGGCTTCTCTGGCATGTGTTCGCCGCTCTCCAGCGACCAAACAAGATCGAAGGAGTTGTCCGGAAACGGCATCTTCAAGGCATCGGCTACCTTGAAGCTGCATTGCTCCTGACCTGAGGCAGGTGCACCAACCGCACAAGCGGCAAGGAGAACCAGGAGAACCAACATGCCAACCACTTCCCACTCCCCGCCTGTCTTCTTCGAAAGACTCGTTGCTTGGCTGCACTGCTTTGGGCTCAGTGTGATTCCTGCGGTTCCCCGGCCACGAGAGGGGAGTGAGCCGAATGCTCCCTGCCTGTGGTCTGGGCATTGAACTTCTTCTGCAAATACCTGGAGGAGCCACCCACGCCGCAGCCCACATCTAGAATGTTCTGCGGTTTTTCGCCATCAGCTGCCCACGTCAGCACCTCCTGAGCTCATTCTGCGCTCTGGTGGCGAATTTCGAATTTCGAATCAAGCACCATTCGACTCGTTCAACGCACAACTGTTTTGACCCGTCCGCACCTCGATCATTCGCACCTGCGCTTCCCTGTGCTGCTGTAATGACCTGCAGAAGCTAGCATGGGCCTTCTTGCAACTCACTCGGTCTCTAGCCAGGCCACGCGCAATGCTGGCAAAAATCCCACTCAACACACGGTCACGTGACATACCCCTACCTCCAGGAATTGTCCTCATAGTAGCCATGGTGAAGGTGGTCACCCCAAATCTCCACCCAGACTCCTGGCTCCACCACTTGCACAGCATGTGAGTCATGCGAGTCATCCCATCAACTCCCCCCCCCTGCCTGTAGAGGCATCGTAGAAGTCCGCAATGCCTTCCTGCAACGTCCGCTTCCGCCGCGAGCGCAGAGCCAAGGCAGTGGCCGCCAGAACAGCGCAGGCCGCAGCCACGGGGTAACTTTGCCGCGGCATGGAGCTTTGCGCCTGCGACAAAAAGCGGCACGAAACAACCAACTGGCCGACTGAGAATCCCGTTCAGACTTGGATTGTCTCAAACCTTTGTATGCCAACGTGAGTGAATGAGACTTGAACCCGCCATTCTGAGAATCCCATTGAGCTCAAACCTTTTGCGGCGGTGCCTCCCGGTGTTTGGGCCGCAGTGGCCGCCTCTGCCGCGGCCGCGGCCGGACTCCGGGACCGACGAAGGCCAGGGAAGGGGCAGGATGCCCTGCGCCGCAGTTGTACTCGCCGCCAAACTCCTTCAGCACAAATGGGTCAAAAAATCAAAACCCTGGTGTCAAATCTACGCGCGTGTGTCAAAACCCACTGCGTCTGCAATATTCTGAGACCTGATTGCGCATGCAAGGCTCCAAAGCTGCATGCTTGAAGATGGTGTACTCGCTAATGGCTTGGCTGTTCCGGATGATTCCTCGCTTCGCCTTAAGGCCATGGCGGCCCCGGGGCCCTGGGGCCATGAAGGTGAGACGGGCGCGCGAATGCTGAGACCCCAGAATCGTCCAAGCTGCGAACAGCCGCGCCACCGCCAGAGCTGTATGGCTCTCAGAGCTGCCTGCGTTGCGTGCTGTGTAAGCTGAAGCCTCACCCTGCCTTGCTACTTTGACACGAAGCAGGTGCTACCCAAAGCTTTCCTGGGCGTGTCTGGCCCGCCTGGCTCATGGCTGAATCCACCTTCTGTGGGCACGTAGATATTCTGTGAGAAACCTAAGACAAACAACAACCTGCCAGAGTCTGAAATGAAGCAAGATTCGCAGGTGGAACGCATGGGATAAGCCTGGGCTGCATCAAGCCTAATGGGGACTGCGGGTGCTCAGCATGTCTCACCCTCTCCGAGTCCAAGTGGCAC